AGAACTTGGGGCCAGGGACTTGCCCATTGGTTGCTTAAGGGGTCACCTCTGTGCTTAAACCTGATTCCGCAACATTGATGATGTTTAATAAAGTGTGGCCCGTGATTAACCCATAATTCTTGTCTCACGTCTTCATTCTGGGGTTAGGAGGACAAATTTCTCTTGCTGTATTTGAAGTGTTATAGTAAATTGTTCTGCAGGTCTTGAAAAGTAATTTTTACTCTCCCAGAATGAAAGGGTTTTTGACACAGGTGGCACTGGTTGTTTAGCACATCTTAAGTCAACAATGGAAAGTACTGCTGTTCCCTAATTCTGAAACTCTTATTGGCCTTGACTTGGGTAGAGAGATACAATGGATTGGGTGTGATGGTGGTATGGACATAATTTTATTGCATGATTATTGGTGCTTTCCATCTGCAGTAGTGTCGGCTCTGGTCTAGTAGGGTGTTCTTGGTGGGAAATATATTAGCTCCCTCACTGTACCACTGCACTCAGTAATACTGCTCATTATATTAGCAGGACTTCCAGCATGCATCAAGAAATCAAGAACTCTAGCTCAGATATTAATTTGTGATTTACTTAACGTATGTTAGATGTGTTTGTTTATTGTATCTGCCACATTTTCTTCTGAAATAGTATGCATACAGTATGTACTGTTCTACACAATGGTGAAAATAATGAAACAGAAATGAATGAATGCTTGTTTATTTTAGCACACTCAACCAAGTTAATTTCAGGCATACACCACCGATGTGGACCGCTTGGCACATGATAAAAATGTTTCTGTCCACCCAGACTTTCCCAGATTCATTTTTGGCTAACTGAGTTCCCAGATTCGTTTTTGCTCATTGAATGTGCTGTTGGCTCTTCTGTTAAATATGTGAAATTGATTGTTGTCTTACTTTAACACTACATTTTATTGCATTGTATTGCACAGTTTTGGTTTTGTGTTGTCTAGTGCTGTGGTAAATTATTTTGTTCAGTGACAAATACATTTAAAACAATTAACAAGTAAAATAAATAAAATCTACATTCTCATTTTAGGGTGGTGACCTGAAGAATGGGAATCTGAAAGGCCATGTACTATCAGGTAAGCATAAACTGAATACTGTCTACGTTTACATCCCTAGAATTTTTTTTGTAAAAGTATATATGGGCATCAAGTGAAAGTAGTCTTCATGGTTTCTAGGGTGCTTATTTTTGTATGGAGTTGTGGGTTCCAACTCGTATATGTTATTTTGCTTCCAAGTCAGAGATGGCTATAAACCTTTTAAGTGCAGCAAGAGGAACTGCTTGGGCCTAACCTAATATTCTGTAGCTAGGAAGGCAAGGAGAGGAGAGTGGAGGGATCTAGCTCATATCTCTGCTTTGTGATAACAGCACGGCTGTTCTGCCTCTCCTCCGTTCCCATGGGTAAGGTAAACAGGACAGTGGGCTGCTCCTTTTAGACACAGACTTCCATGCCTTTCTGTACACAGGAAATATCCATCTTTTCATACAATCAGTGTCAGAGACAAGAAGGACATTCTCTGTGCATGGAACTCTGTGTTTCCTTCAACATAAGGAAGAAAACGGATGTCTGGGGAGGAGTGGTGCCAGATGAAATTAAAATCAGTGTCAGAGACAAGAAGGACATTCTTTGTGCATAGAAAGGCATGGAAGTCTGTGTTTCCTTCAACATAAGGAAAAAAAACGGATGTCTGGGGAGGAGCAGTGCCAGATGAAATTAGAGAAGGCAGGGCTTGGGAGTGGAGCCTAGTCCCCACAACATCATTCAGCCCATCAATCTGGCCCACTCTTCAATTTTCCTGTCTCTGCTTCCATTCTTAAGCAGGTGTTGGTAGCCAAGATTTTTTTTTTTACTTAGTGGGCAATCAGACAGGCATATAGCTAACAATTTTGTTCACATTTGGGGCAGTTTGTTTGGCCTTGCTTTTTGGCAACCACATGTAAGAGCAATACATCCCACCCCTTTTATGAGATGTCCTGCTCCTTCCTGGCACAGGGCTAGGGTTGCAGTTTATTTGGTGCAATTGAGAGCACTCCTGAGTATCTCATTCTGAAGTCTGTGTGGTTGCTTAATTCACTCCTAATTATAATTCTCTTCATTGACAACCCTGTGATGCATACAGTAGATTGTGACAATAGGATGGCAGAAAAAAACTCTCCTCTATTTTTTTCTTCTCACATTTTTAAAAAATATTTTCCTAAGTGACACAGCACTATTTCATATATAAAGGAGTGTCCATGCTAGGTTGATGTATTGTTGTAATGCTATGCCACTCACTAAATTAAACAAAAAAAGGGGGGGAGGGAGTGGCTACAGCTCATGGAATGACAACTGTGACAAAAGGTGAGGAAACGAGCTGGGGTATCAGTAATCAAAAGAGAAAATCAGAGTAATCTGAAGTGCTGTCTGGATCGTTCTTGTGGGAGAAGAAACATTTCCAATGTGAATGGAAGGACAGCCAAGATAAAACAGATCACACAAAGATAAGAGACTTTTAAATGTGACTTGGATCATGCCAAAATTCCATGTCTAGTTGCAACTTTAGTTAGCTTTCAATCAGTACATTTGGGCTGCTTGTTTGTTTCTACTACGGACAATGTGGGGAGGAAGCCAGTGGTGAGCAACTGAAAATTTAAATGTACATACAGTACATGCGGTGAGCAACTGAAAATTTAAATGTACATACGTGCAAATAGATGCTTGACCAAAATCTATATACCATCATAAGCATTAACTGCATAAATTGCAGTGATCAATTGCGGCTTAGTAAGGAATTGGTTCAACTGACATGCAGCTGGGAATAGGAGCAGCAACATAACATTAATTAGTAGCAACTTGCTGCCAGGATTTACACAATTACATTTATAGTTGTTGTTGTTTAGTCGTTAAGTCATCTCCGACTCTTTGTGACCCCATGGACTGGAGCACACCAGGCAGGCCCTCCTGTCTTCCACTGCCTCCCGGATTTACATTAGCATAAATCCTGAATAGGATTCTGGCCAGTCTGTGTTACTTAATAATAGCTGGGCTAGAGGAGATTGTTTCTTGTACTTTGTGCAGAGGTTTTCTACAGATATCAGTCCTATGAGATTCTTACTGATCACTCCTTGGAATTTCTTGCTCTTATTGCAAGAAAATTAAATAAGCCCAAAAGGCTTTTTCTGTTGGATGGTTAGTATCTACACATACTAGAGATAGGAAGTATCGCCTCTACAAATTATATATAGTGGTTATTTAACAAGGATATTCTGGGAGTAGTAACCTGAAAGAGGAACTTTTCCCAAAAGCACAAGCCACTAGTTCTTAAATTGTATTTTCAGGTGCTTCGTGGACTTTGCTTACAAAATTGTCATAGATATTATAAAGTACTAGGAGCATAACAAGTAATGAGAGATACACCTACCACCAGTCATGATGTATTGAATTCCTTTTTAAAGGACTTATTCTTTTTATCTAATTTTCCATTCTCAAAACACACACTGGAAGACCTTTTCATTGGTTAATCACAGGCTGTGGAATACCATTTTTAAGAAAGGCTAGGCTGGCTTCCTCCCTCTTGTCCTAAACATGAGCAGGCAAAGATATTTTTATTCATGCAGGCTTTTGTTAATCGATTGGTTGCCACAAAAGGGCTTTTTTTAAAAAAGATTTGTGCTGTATTGTGTGTGCACGCACAGTCACATATTTAAATTGCCTTCTAATTCATTGTGTTTTAATATTATAATTGGTTTACATGTTTCAATATTATAATATTTGGCTTGTTTTTGTCTGTATCTGTTTTTAATCTTGTTGTGAGCCACTTAAAATTACAGTTCTGGGGGAATGGTGGAATATTAGCCAAATAAGTAAATAAATATTCCACATGTTCTAAGGCTTTTTTTATTGCTCAGTTCCAGCTGTAAGTCATTAAGGTTTAAGACCATCTAACTTCATTTCCCCCCATTCTTCTTCCCAGCCTTTTTCTCTTTCTCTGTTACTTTCCCAATTGCATAAGTTAGATGTCATGGTCCTTGGGCTGGAACAGTAGCAGATGATATCTTACCAAGTAATTAAGCCATAAGTGAACACATGTCAGTCAAGTCCCTGCAAACAGGCAGTTAAGCAACACTCCATTATCTGGGTGCTTTTGTAAAAACAAATACATAAATAATCATTTGTAAAAGGTTATGTGTTTGTTGTTGTTTAGTTGTTTAGTCGTGTCCGACTCTTCGTGACCCCATGGACCAGAGCATGCCAGGCCCTCCTGTCTTCCACTGCCTCCCGGAGTTGGTCAAAGTCATGTTGGTGGCTTTGATGACACTGTCCTCTTGCCTTCACACTTTCCCAGCATCAGGGTCTTTTCCAGGGAGTCTTTTCTTTTCATGAGATGGCCAAAGTATTGGAGCCTGAGCTTCAGGATCTGTCCTTCCAGTGAGCACTCAGGGTTATGTGTTACTCCTCTTGAATATACCATACCATGTCTCTTTGTTACATGCTTAACAGGGTAAAAAAAGTTTTTAAAGCATGGTCATTTAACTTCTTTGCTTTTAATTGCAAATGAAATTGACAAAAAATAAGTATCAATAAACAAACTGAAGGTTCCATTTATATCACAGTCCAGCAACTCCATGTAGCACTATGAGCTTTTATAGGAGGATCATGGATGGGGTAGGAAATTTCATTATTTATTTATTTATTTATTTATTTTTGGACTTGTATACCGCCCCATAGTGCTACAAGCACTCTCTGGGCAGTTTACAATTTCATTATACAGGCTACACATTGCCCCCCCTCCAGCAAGCTGGGTACTCATTTTACCGACCTCGGAAGGCTGGAAGGCTGAGTCAACTTTGAGCCGGCTACCTGGGCTTTGAACCCCAGGTCGTGAGCACAGTTTTAGCTGCAGTACAGCGTTTTAACCACAGCTCCATGAGGCTCTTATTCATTGGAATATGCTGTGCAGCATCATGTGGGTATGTGCTGAATGCCCAGGCTTTCAAATAGAGGTGGATGCAGCAATGGTGAGGATTCCCCCAAATATTGGGCAATCTCAATATTTGAACAGCAAGTGGGAAATACTGCACTTTCAAAAGGCAGAGCCAATACAGATCGTTTCTTTAAGTAATACCAGAAAATGAAGAAGTGTCAAGTGTGTACCCCATCATAATGCCACCCATCTCTCGGGAGTAATTTCATGATAGTTCAGACTTTCCAGTGAGAAGCAGATAGACAACATCTCCCTTTATGAGCCTGATGAGGTGTTAAGATCATCAGTCCCACCACCGCCTCTGTGGGGAAGACACACAAGAGTGCTTTCTCCATCACTGCTCTCAAACTCTGGACCTCCCTCCCACTGGTCACCAGGCTGGACCCATCTTTGCTGTCCTTCCACGGGCAAAGGGAGACTTTTCTGACTTTCTTAATCCTACCAATACTTCTTGATTTTAGCTTTTAAATATTGTTTTTAAGGAGAAAGAAGGGATAAAAGTAAATAGATACTGTAAATAAATACTCATAGAATTTAGTTTAGGCCACCAGTGAGGACTCAGGGACGTGGTTCAGTTTATTGTGGCAAAAAGGAGGGGAGAGGAAGAAAGTGCATCAGCTGTGAATTTAAGCAATTTACATTAAGTGGTTTTAATCATCTGAGGTGCTGTTGAACAGAGATGGATTACCCCCTCTTGATTTGATTAGGATGTGGAGGAATGTTAGCCTCTCCAGTCCCTTCACATCACATTCTCTTTTCTTGAATCCAGCCTGAAATGCCCTCCGAGCTATGATTCCGGTTTTTAACAGTTAGGGAGCATCTGCATACATAATAGCTCTGCTTGGTATTAGGCTCTTTTTCCGCAACACATTTTGGGGGAGGGGAGCAACTGTCATCTCCTAGCAATGTATAAAAGGTTGACAGCAAGCAATGCTTTGCTTTAATTTAAGTCTGAGCTCTTCAGGAATCAAATGTAGCTTCTACCTGCTGATTACCTACAATAACCCATGTACTGGATAAGTATATGGATGCCGAAATAGCAGGACTTTTAGCAGTATTTGAACCTGGGGAGCTAAAGAGAGGTCTGGCGCTTACTTTGTGACTAGCATCCTTTCAGACACAAATGCAGATTTTAATCCTCTTGTTGTGGTCAAATCCACAGGGAAAGTGATGTACAGCAATAGAAAGCAAAATTCTTTATGACAGCAACAGCTACCAGATGCTGTCCAGAACTTAAATATGATGCGAGTACTTTGCCACACTTTTTTGCTGATTTTGGAGTGTTGGACTAGGATTTCTAGGTACGAATGCCAACTAAATCATGAAGCTCATCGTGTAACTTTAGGGTAGTTGTTTTTATTATGCTTGGTTGGCCCCATGGAATTTTGTGGAGATAAAATGAAGGAAGGAAGTAGGGGGTCAAACTAGAAATTAAAAGGAATATGTAAAAAAAATAGCTGAGGAGTACTGTTATTCTAGCTGGAGGAGTACAAAGAAAGCTTCTGGTTTTCGCCATACTTACACACGGACGACCAATTCTGCCATTTGGAGCAAGGCATGGATGCTAGTACACCAGCATCACGTGGCAACAAAGAGGCAAGCCCAAACCTTCCTCTCCCGCCAGTTGCCTGCCCCTCATGACTCCACAAGGGTCTGCGCCCTGGTTTCAGGTTTTGTCCCTAAAATCTCAGGGAACTGGCGGCTGCTGACTCGGCAATCCTATCAGCAGTATTTCAGCAAAGAGCTTCCAGGAGCAGGATGTGCTAACACTTACTTCTCTTATCCCAGAATGAGAATGTGGGCTTGTAATTGTAAATCTGTTCATGTCGAGTCTGCCTACTTCCTAGATCTGCTCAAGAACCAACAAATAAAGAAAGTGACTCCCTCATGAGCTGGTAGATATTCAAGTATACTTCTGTATGAAAAGGGCCAATCAGCCTCCTAAACTCTGGGAGACTTACAGGCAGAACAAAGGCAAGGTGTAGTTGATTTCTAAGTGTCAATATGATTTCCTGTCACAGGTAGCTCTTTGTGTGGGTGGTATTCATGTCTAATGTTCAGTTGATTGCTCCCCACATCCTGGGAAACTGACTCCATTGAATGGGACTGCTTGGAGTTATATTTCCTGTGATTTTTCTGTGGAGGGGCTGATTTAATCATCAGCCCAGCAAGGCTTTATTGTACAGTTATTGGATACTCGTTCCTATTTTGGGACACTGTGTCTTACATATCAATTTTCCTTCCTCCAGATAGGTTTCTTCCAGTTTAAACAGCAATTCTGTACATTAATGTGAGCACTGCTAGACCCACCTCCATTGGTTCCAGTGGTGGCCAAGTCTCCCAGCAATAATCCCATTGGCTCCAGGTTGGGAGGATGACCAAGAATATACTTTATTGCAACTGGGAAACCAACAGGAACAGAAACACTGTCCTTAACGTCCTCCAGGAGTTTCCTGGAGGGTTGAGTTCTCTGTCCCAACCCTGCAGGGATTGTCTTTTCAAGAGTGTCTCCTGTTAAAGCCACAGGAGGCCCTGAGAACTCTGGTCTCTTGAAAGGGGGAAGGGAGGATAAGTCCTGACCCTGATCAAATACTTTTCAAGAACAGCTAGTAGGGCTGGGTGGGGTTACTGGTGCCCACTCCTCTGCTCCTCTTGGAGCCTCCTGTGCCTCTCACCTTGGAGCTTCTGTCACCAGCACTGTAGCTGGGTCAGAGTGGGTGTCCTTGCTCCTGTTGGGTGATGCAGGTGCCAAGGTTGTCTCAGAGGTAAGCTCCTGGAGTCCTGGCCCTCGGTTGTCTTGACTGTGGACTTTCTTCTACCCAAATGGGTGGGGCTCAGGGACTTCAGCCTGGGGGTCTTTTTCCCCTATCACTCTCCCCCTCAGCCAAGGCTCAGAATTGGGGATCCCAAGCATTGATGATCTCTCCCAACATCTCCTCCTTCTCCTCTTTGTTCTCTGTCTCTCCCTCTGTTTCTCTGAAGGAAGCCCTCAATTCCTCCTCTTTTATCCCAGCCTCCCACCTTCCCCCTTCTCCTCCTTACAGGTGGCCCTCATCAGCTTGCTCCCTCATAGGCACCTGCTGTCCCTCTCCCTTGCCTACTAGGGGTCCTGGGGCTATGCCCTGAGATCAGAGTGCACAAGCAGTATATGTTCTTCCAGAAGTAAGCTTTCTGCAAGACAACTCTCTCTCTCTCTCTCTCTCTCTCTCTCTCTGTGTGTGTGTGTGTGTGTGTGTGTGTGTGTGTGTGTGCGTGCGTGCGTGCGTGCGTGCGTGCGTGCGTGCGCGTATGTACACGCACACGTGTGCACATTTAGACAACTTGGTAACAACTCTGAATTTATATAAAAGTTTTCAGATACCAAGTTCTGGTAGCCAATTTCCAAATAATGACAAAAAGTGTTGTACGTCAGCTTGCAACTACTCTACTGTCAAAATATTAAGCACTGTTATATGTCAGTGATAAAGTATTCTAAGTATAATTTGCTAGATATGGAAAACAAATATACAAGAACTTGGGAAGTCCCTCATCACCAAGGAAGGAGACACATCTCTGAGTTAAGCCACAACATCTGACATGTGTTTGGATAATATTTTGGACTGAATTTTGATCATATGCATTTGAGAGAGGAACTTGCTCTATTTCTAATCAATATGTGGTAGCAATTTTCATCTTGGGTAGGAGCATAATAATAACACAATAATGATGGTACTTTCAGGTGCAATTAAAAGCATAACAGGGGCCTGTGGAAAAAAGAAAGAGACAGAAGGTGGCAGATGTTGACAACATACCAGAGGAAAAACCTGAGGGATAAAATGTTTGTTTGGGGGAGAAGCTGAAGAATGTTGAACAATATGATGGATTCTCTGTATGTTGTAATAAGAAAGAGACAACTGTAAGAAATGTAAATGACTCCCTCTGAGAATATGGTGGGGGTGGCCTTGGATGTTTTCTACTTGGATATACATGGGTTAAGAGGGGCAAAAAGAGATGGGATTTAGGGAGTGAACGAAATGCTCTGCACTTGACTTGATGGGGGAAACAGGTGAGGTAAAAAGGAGGGTTTTTTTTCTGAGAGACAAGAGGATGCTTGTGATTAAATGGCAAAGAGCCAAATACCAGAGGAAACTCCAGCAAGTGGAGGGAAGAGTAGAGAAAGTAATAGAGCTTGCACATAGAAACCAGGTGTTTCATAGGAATATGTGAAATTTATACCACCATATCTGCATCTGCTTCCTAACTGCTTTGTAACTGTCCTGTGTAAGAGACATGACAGGGTCCTAATGATGACTTAATACAGCCTCTGACGATGGATCTGGACTGTAATGAGAATAAAATAAAGTATTCTTGTCTTAAAATCTGATGAAATGTTGTAATAGAGCATTCTAGAGTTAAAATACAGAGAAACTGTGAAGGGGACATCAAGATAATTAGTGAAACTGATCTAGAAACCCCCAGGAGGGGGGGAGAATTAAAAAGAAATTATATGAATTTGAAAAATAGAACAATTGCAAATGGATAGAAAGAGAGCAACATCTGCTGATCCCTATTACAATGTAACCTTATCTTGGATGGTCACAGGATCAGTCTGTAGTAAAAGAACACATTTAATGCCTGCTTTAAACATCCCTCTTCTGCTTTCTGTATCCAGATTACCGCCGACCCACACCACCATCACAAAGTGGTTATCACCGCTACCAATTCCTCCTTTATGAACAACCAGCTGATCAAGCCATCACCTTGAGTCCTGAGGAAAGTGCATCAACAGGTAGAGATTCCTCCACTTTGTGCATGAAGCAAAGTTCAGATTTATTTTTTTTTTAAAGGAGATTATTTGTGGGAGGAACATCAGCATATCATTTCCTTCCCATCAATTTCCCTGTCTCTGTTTCCTGCATGATAGAATTTCTTATAGGGAATGTTTCTGAAGTGATTAAAAATTGGGGGGGGGGGATATGCAAATAACTGTTGGCATCAGCTGTGAATTCTCACTGCCAGTTGGATAAGGGTGACCATGTGCTTTTTTCAGCCGGATCAGTCAGAAAGATAAAACGGCTGAGTTAAGTCAGTCCTTACATGAAGTGGGTTCATACAGAGAGTGAAGATGTAACCTAGAATTGTGGTACAGTGGCTAGCATGGTTGCATCAGAAATGCGGAAATCCAGGTTCAACCCAAACTCGGCTTTCTAGGTAATCTTGGGCCAGTCATTGATTCCCACTATCCAAAGTGATTGTGAAGATGAGTCAGATGAAAGGGCAACTGCTTTCTATGCTGTTGTGAGGCCCGCTGCCCAGGTCCCCAAGAGACCAGTGGCCTTGGGGTCTCCTGCCAATAATTCCATTATCTCCAAGTTGTTGGTGAGATCGCTGTGTTTTAGAACAGGCGCTTTCCACAGTGGCTCACCATCAGTGCTGTCCTGAATGCCAGGGAGCGGAGCTGTTTGCACTAGACTCCTGGACACAGTCCCTTCTGTCCTGGCCTCAGTTTCCATCACTGAGGTCAGTGAAGCTTTTGCAATAAAGGAGCCCAGTCTGGAACTTGGGCGTGGTACCTTTCAATGAGGGCTGGTACAGGTTGTTGGAAAGCGCTGGCAGTCCTCCGGCTCTTTGGAAGGCCTCCTCCTCCCGCACTAGCATTTCTGCCACCAGTGCCTTAGTTGAATGGGGGCTGGGACTATGGGACCTGTAGGATATCTCAGATGCCACAGAGCCACTGGTTTTAGATTTTTTTCTGGGACTGAGATGTTGGATGTCCCTCTTCCTTGGCCTCAACTCCTAGCTGGCTGGCTCTTGGCAAGAGTCATTGTCCTCCTCACAAGTCGGTTCCTCAGGAGCACAAAGGACGGGCTTCAGTCATTCACTGCAGACCCCCAGGTCTCCTGTTGCTTGGTTTAACCTTCACTGGGAGTCCCAGCTTCACCTCCGTCCTCCTTTAGCACTGCTGATGGGTCCTCATCCTGTCCCGTTGGCTGTTCCCCATGTCCCATCTCCCCAGTGACCTATGGGCTTCCCTCCTCCCAGCTTTCCTGAGAGACCAGCATGGCTTCTCTGCCTGTGCTTTCAGGGTGGTTTGGTGAACGGGCACATCCCCCTCACTACTGTCTTAATTTCATTGGGAGAAAGGTACATAAAAATGTAATAAATAAAATAAATTACAATAAATGGCGAGCTCTGGAAAACCATTGCAAAAAGTAACATTAACTTTATGTTATACTTAAAGCTTTAACAACTAGAGTTAGCAATAATACTAATTAATTACTGATGAATTGCCTTTAATTTGTTTTTAACCTCGAAAGCATGTAAAATGCAAAAATGTGAATAGATAAATAGGTACCACCACGGTGGCAAGGTAACAGCATTCTGTGTCTAGGCGCGCTGGCCACGTGACCACGGAAGATTGTCTTCGGACAAATGCTGGCTCTATGGTTTGGAAACGGGGATGAGCACCATCCCCTAGAGTCTGACACAACTGGACAAATTGTCAAGGGGAACCTTTACCTTTACCTAACCTCTTAAAAACCACACACACTCACACACACTCACACACACAAACACACACACTTTGTTTTCCAAAGACTGCCCTCTCATTACCCCCAAAAGTAATGCATTGCTAAGTAATGCTGTTGCTGTACTATTTCTGAGCTCTGGATAAATGTTAGAGGCTACTGAGAGGCTAATATGCATCAGTACAAATGCTGTTGCAATATGGCAAATTATAGCTCTGTCCCAATTAGGATTGACAGTAGCCTAGGAAAAAAAACAGCTTAGCCTTTCCCCCCTTTCTTTTAAATTTTGCCTTCATTCAGTTGAAAGACAAACACAGGACAAAATAGCCTTTTCCATCACCACCACTCATCTTAAGCCAAATTGGGATGTGTGTGTGCGTGTGTGTGTGTGCGTGTGCAAAAGAAGAGGTGGCTTGGGGAAGAGCATGGTCATAACATTAAAAGGATGTTATGAATCTGTACCACACCGTTTCAAGGGGAGCATCTTTTCCTGTCAGCAACAGGAGCTAGATTACAAGCTTTCAATAGGAGAATTTGTTAAGAGTAATGCTCCACATGAGTTTAGGACGTGGCCTATTTTCAAATAAAAACATGTTTTCACAAATCTATATGCTAAATGGAGGGCTGCAAGAATTAAATATTAGTTGCAACAAATTTTAATTGGTGGGGCCAAAGTTTTGGTTTTAAATCCTCTTATTTCTCAATCTGTTTTGGTATGCTGTTGTAATAAAGAACAGAAAAACATGTTAAACACAGCCTGTTTATAATACTGTAGTTCTATGTAGGAGTTTCCCCCCTTCCATTGAAAGGTATGTCATGTTTTATACAGTATCCAAACAAAAACATTTATATTGAGGTTTCAACAGTACCATTTCTCTTAATTTAATAAAGAAATTAAATGTCATTTGACTGACAATAAAATAAAATGTCAGGAATAGAAGCTGCACTATTTATAATACTGCATTTGATATGCATTGCCTTACTTAAAGGGCCAGATTCTGACTAGCAGTTGTTCGAAAAGGTCCATTCAAAATGCCTCTTTCAATACCTAATAGTGAATACAGTTAATATCATACTCAATACAGATATATGTTGCTTTGAAATGTGGTTATACCCATACTGCCTTCTCTCACCCCTGAGTAAGCTCTGATGAGGATATGGGACCCAAATCCAGTTTAGGACTACTACACATGAGTAGGGGAGATTTAAACCACCCCCACCCCCAATCATTGCCATTTTCTACAATCAGTGGCACTTCTTCTGGCTTGGTTACAGCTTGGCTGGAGCGGGCTGGTGCAGGCTAAACAGGGTCACTTAAGGCCAGGTAGTGATCCTGTATGGCAGTGGTCCCCAACCTTGGGCCTCCAGAGGTTCTTGGACTTCAACTCCCAGAAATCCTGGCCAACAGAGGTGGTGGTGAAGGCTTCTGGGAGTTGTAGTCCAAGAACATCTGGAGGCCCAAGGTTGGGGACCACTGCTGTATGGCATGTGGTGCAATCTTTGCATTCTAGTGACCCTATTCGGTCCACTATAGCTTTTACAGAAAAATTTAAAAACTGAAGGCTTCGTTGCAGAAGTGGAAGGAGAGAGGAGGAGACAAGAAGTGGGATTTTTTTTCTCCTTTTCTTTACATCCAGGGAAGCCAACTTGCTTTGCCAGAGACAGAAAAGCTGTTAAGAAAAAATAAGGGGGGGGGGAGAGGGATCCTTGCTCCTTCCTGTCTCTTTCTACTTCTGAGAGGAAGTCTTATTATTATTGTTGTTTTCTCTAAAGGTACAGTGCATCAGCACTGTCTTAATTGGCTTTTAAAAAAACTGTTTCCTCCCTATGCTTTCCCAATTGCCTAATACCATTAAATGGTTAAACTGTCTGCTTAAATCACTAATCACATGAGGAGACTGAAACCACTGCTCAAATAGAAGCAGGAAGCTTAAATTTGCCAGTTCTCTTTGGTTTGTTTCCAGTAATTGCACACAGTGGAAATGAACCAAAATGAAGCATTCCTACTACTGTAGCACCAAAAGGTAGACGGCTCTTGATGGGCCAGAAAGGTGCAGGCAGGAACGCTCTGGGAGCAGAGTGGTTCACTCCAGCAAAGATATCAGCTGATTGCCAGCTTTAGGACCAGACAATCCCATCCCCTCACAAACTAAACAGAGGGCTAAATGCCTGTGTAGTCAATATCTTTTTTTTCTTTCTTTCACTCTTGCACAGAGTAGGGATTGGTAGGATTAAGAAAAGAGATGGCTAGGGAAAAGATTTAACCTTTCTAGCCAGCCCATGGTGTTCCTAATTTTAAAAAGGCCTTGGTGCATTGAGTACAAAGTCAAAAAAGAACATGAGGCTCCCTGCACATTGAATTTAACATACCCTGCAATGTGGCCCTGATACACTGTACAGAGAGTTTTTCCCACAGTCAGTTGTGAGTCTCTTTTTCTTGGAAGGAGCAGTTTGTTCAAAAGGAACACATCACTTTTGCCCTGCTTTATGAAGTATAATATTGCACACTTTGCTGTGCTTTGTATCATCTTCTGCAAGCCAATACTATCACAATGAAGACTGCACTACAATCTAGTTTGTTAGCAATATGGCGGTTTGGCAACTGTCCTGAATGACGTTTTGCACCGTTCCTATTTAGATAAAGTTTGGGGGGGCTGGGGGAAGAATGCCAGATATGAAAGACATCTTGCAGATGAATGTAGAAGATGAGAAGGTGAGGAGGGCTCTCCAAAAGTCTGTAACTGAGAACAAGTCCTTGCCAGTAAATTCAGGAGCTAGAGGAGTTTCATCAGTGACACCTCAGAGCTTTTATACATATCAAGCAATGAGATAACATCATGAATAATGAGATTTGGCAATTAGGATTGCACAAACAGTCTTGAAACAATGCTCATAAACTAACAGGTCTGTTTAGACAGGCACGTCCTCAGCACAGAGCGGCAGCTAGGTTCCTGAAGCAAAACAATGCACGGAGGGCTTTTGTTTTGTTTGCTTTTTTTTGTGCAAGCAAAATGTTAGGAGGGAGATAAAAGGAGTGAGAGAGAAAGGAGTGTGGATGTCTCATCTACGTATGGCAACACTGCAGCACTCTGTGAGCTCCAGCCGTACGTGAGATCAGTTTGTGGAGCAAGAGAAACAACAGGTGCAAAACTCTTTGCTGGAAGAGGCCTTAGTCATTCTCTGCAAAAGATGCAGTCTCTTTGTACTGTCTCTTTGCAAGCATTGAGACTTAAAGGTAGAAGGAAACCTAACCTATACTGCT